AAAAAAAAAAAAAAAAAAAGAGCCATTGTACTAGATATACATTAACTTTAGAGATTACCCTTCTGAAGGGATTCACAGCCTGATGTTTCTATAGTATGTCCAAACATAGTCCACAAACCTTAAAAAAGTTCTGTCTTCCAATATACTATTAGTTACCATTGATGAAGACAGTGGAGTGGGAGGGAGAATAGAGAGTTACTGTTTAATGGGTATAGAATTTCAGTTTTGTAAGATTGAAAAGAATTCTGGAGACAGATGGTGATGTGGTGCATAACATCATGAATATATTTAAAATCACTTAAATGTACATTTAAATCTGATTAAGATGATAAATTTTATAACATGCTGTATGTATTTTTTTACCACAATTTTAAAAACTGGGGTAAAAAAGCAGAGAAAGAGAGGCCACTAAAAAGAGAAAAGTGGTATATTTTATTACAAAGGTAATGTTCTCCCTGGAGATTCTCTCAATTTATAAACTTAAAGTTTATAAAAGTTCTGTTCAAGGTTGGGAAAGGTAAATAACTGAGGGTCTCCATAATTTGAATAAACTGAGCTTTTACATTTAAACATATGCTTCTATGTTGGGCATATATTATTTATTCTGCATTTGAGTATTAAAAGCGCTAACTCCAAAGACCTCTTCCGTTCTTGTGATCCAGACCTTGCTATGCTCTAATATTCCTGTTCTTATAACAAATATCTTGCTCTCCACAGCAAATCGTAATCCTTCTACAAAGCAGGGATTCTTTCTTCTTCTACCATTGATCAGAAACTCTCATCTCCAACTGTTTAGAGTACAGAGAATTCTACTAGCTCAGGCTCAATCGGGGAAGTAAACCTCTGGACAGAAAAGTAAGGAACTACTTTCAGACAGAACACACCCTTAGTACAAGATGACAGAACAAAAGCTTCTACTTCTATGGGATCGACACAGGTGACATTACAATAAGAAACATCAAATATCAATTTTACCTCGGCCTCTAGAGCAGCTCCATATTCGAATGGTTTGATCTTTGCTTCCAGTGGCTAAGAAACAGCCTTTTGTTACTGCAGTTTGTGTTGTAACTTTCCCATTAGGAATTTCAGGTTCTTCTAGGAAAGAGATGGTAATTTCGTATTTAATTTTCATTAAACTTGTACTTGTCAAAGAAAAATTAGTTTGCAAGAACCCATAAAATGTAGCTATTTCTTTTTATAGGTCTGATCGATAAAATCTGAAGTTTTACATAGAATTCATATGATACAATTTTATCCACTTTGTTTCTCAGGTCTAATGAGTACTGAACCCTCCCTTAAATCATCTCTACCTGAATTTTCTTCTTGATTTATGGATAAACAATCTTCACCAGGCAAGGGACACCAGACTATGGAATGGATTTCATCATCATGGCCTCGAAACCTGTGAATAACTTCTCCTTTCTTACTGATGTCAATTATAACTACTATGCCATCCTTGTAGCTGGAAAAAAGAGAGATAAATATCACAGAAAATGAACAGTCTCTCTACAAAACATTTTGGCTTAGGAGTTACCATCGTGGTTTGTTTTTTTTTTTGAGTCGAGTCTCACTATGTTGTTGCCCTTGGTAGAGTGCCGTGGCATTATAGCTCACAGCAACCTCAAACTCTTGGGCTTAAGAAATTCTCTTGCCTCAGCCTTCCAAGTAGCTGGGACTTCAGGCACCGCCCTGGCTATTTTGTTGTTGTTGTTGTTGCAGTTGTCATTGTTTAACAGGCCCAAGCTGGTTATAAACCTGCCAGCCTTGGTGTATGTGGCTGGCACTGTAACCACTGTGGTAGGGGAGCTGAACCCATTGTGCATTTTTTTTTTTTTTTT